TCTCTGACTGCAGCTGTGCCTCCGTCCTCCTCCTCCCTTCTCCGACTACCACACACACAGGCTATGAGTTATGTGCCTCCTGTTCTAATGAGATAAACAACATAAGTCTCACGAGGCTCTGCTCTTCCCTATGTCAGTGTACTCCAGGGCTGAATGTGTTGGTCCCATAAAGGAACCCTGGTGCCTGTCAGCCTAGTGAGGAGGGCAAGGAGGGGTATAAGGAGCCTCAGGAGAGTATCTGGGGCCATTTGCTTATTGAGAAAAGGTGGAAGCAAAGCAGACATCACAGGGAGGCCTGTTTCTACCTGTGAGGCTAAAGGACCAAATAGCAGGATGGGTGGGCAGGGCAGGGGTCTTCATCGTGTCATGTGGGCACAGAGTCTGACACTTTTCTAAGTCAGCTGACTCGTGATGATCAACAACGGACCATTGTCAAGCCCTTATGGTTATAGAGAGCATCCTCTTTAATATAAGCTAATCTCCATGACAAACCCTCTATAGTAGGCATTATTAATGCCCTAATCTCACAGGTGTGGAGACGGGCTCAGAAAAATGTCGGGATATTTCTCAGGATTCATGAGCTCTGCCTCTGTGCCATGGAGCTTCTTTAATTCACCAGATGAAGAGCAAAACAAACATGGCCCCCTCTTCTGGACATTCAAGCTACTTACCAACATGGACTTACCAGGAGAGTGGGCTATAGCTGTAAGCAGAGTGGCCCGAGGCTGCACTACTGTCTCTGACCAATGGGTGCAGTGACTACAGACTTAGGGTGGGCATAGGACCTGGACAGGTGCTGACAGTTGCAAACTCTGGCCACTGAGGCCTTCTGGGAGAGCTGGTCTAGAGGGCCCCTTCTCACTTAGCTGCTTCCAGTCTCATGCATGAAGCAGCCTTTGGGGCAAGAAGGAAACCCAAGGCTGGCTGGGTGAGATGGGTTCTGGGCTTAGTTCTGAGCCCACTTTCTAGAGTCCCTCCTGGGTGGCTTGGGTCCTGGTGAGTGAGTCTCCTGGAGCCAGGAATAGCAGGGCTAATGGTCATTTACTACTTGCATTTCCGAGCCACTAAGTTCTACTTGAATTTGCTTAATAAGCACTCCCTGATATGCTTGCCAGGGACTGTGTGTAAAGATTGGGGGTACTGAGATAGACATGGTTCTTGCCATCTTGGATCTTATAAAATTAGTAGAGGAGACAATCTAATGAGTAGGTAATCAATTATAATTTCTTGGGAGAAATAAAGGAACTCTGGGATCCTGTTAAGAAAGATCCTAAAAGTCTTGGTACATCAGAGAAAACATTCAGGCAATAACTAGATATTGCTTGGACATCTAGGAGTTCTTTCATACAGTGAAATAATCTATAAAGTTCTTTAAAAAATAGTCACACAGGGGCTGGCAGGTGGCCTGGTGGTTAAGGGCACTGGACTCCCACTTGGCTGACCACGGTTTGAATCCCAGACCTGGTGGCTTTCTTTCTCACTTTCTCTCTCTCTCTCTCTTTCACTCTGTCCCTCTCTGGTCAAATTAAAAAGCAAGCAAGCAAGCAAGCAAGTTAGATAAAATAATTATTTAAAAAAATAGTTTCACAACTCCTCCAGCTACTAATATTCAGATTAGATGGCTCTGGCGCGGATTTGGGGCACTGGTGTTTTTGAAAATTCTCTAGGTAATTTTGGTTTCAGCCTGGGCTAAAAATCACTAACACAAGGTAAGTGGGGGTTTGTGGGACTGGTTTGGGAATGTGGAGTAGTAGACCAGTCCTTGTGCTTGGCCTTTTCTGGGATCCTAGAGAATACCATTCTGGAGACGGCTTCAGCATTTAGAAGGGACCCAGAATCCATACATCTACTCAGGATCAGAGATGACATGGTCTTGGAGTGAGCCATACTGGAGATGTTGAGCTAGTCAATGATGCTGTCCCTCAAAATTGGGACGCACTGGACCTCCTGTGAGAGGGTACAATCTTTCTTTATTTGGTTTCTGTAAATCAGCCACATGTCTGCTCTTCAGAGCTCAGGGAGCTCAGACCTGCAGGATCCTCCTACTACATAGATGCCCATGAGGCAGGAACTCTCTTCACTCCAGCCTTAATAGTTTCTAAGAAACAGAGTGGGAAGTGTCAATGGAAAATAAACAACTCTAAGAAATTAATAATTAATGTGGTTTATTTCTAAGCAGAATATGAGTGACCTAGGCCCTGAGAGGAGGCAAAACATGGCTTTCTCTAGGAGTGATCAGGTACAGGGATTCCTTTTATTTGATTTTGAGAGCAAGAGACAGAGTTGGGAATTTAGTGAAGTTTTCCAATGGTCTGGCCCAAAAAGGCGGGACATGTGGAAGGTGGTGGGGACTGCTTGTCGGTTATATAGGTGGGTTTACAGTTTTTAGGATGGTGATTGGAAAAGGAAGGTTGCTAAGATCAGAAAGGAATGTACTTTAGCAGTGATAAGGAGGCTTAATATACATCACAAAGATACTATGCCAAGGGCAGGGTATAGGAAGAATCCTGTTACTAATGGGCCACAATGGTCTGTCAACATCTGTGGGCTTGACTCCCCCTGGAAAGGCCCTCTGGAAAGGACTTGGGAAAACTAGGAAAAAAGCAGTCAGAATTTTGTCCACAGAAGGATCAAAACTTCCAACTTGTTCAGAGTCTTGCAATCTGTGGGAGAATGCATCAGCTATGTGATAAAATGATACATTGACATGGAGAGACCTGGACATTTTGTTGCTTTTAATGCTGGGATGGTTGCCTCTGCTTTGGACCCAACCCAATAAATGGGTAGAGATGAACTTATAAAAATGAAAAAGTGAATGACCAGCTATATAGCAATGAAACTTTTATAGATGATTCTCTGCAAAGGCAAAGCATAAAGTGAGGGTCAGCAGGTGACTGGATCCCACGTGACCAACTGAGTGGTCCTAGTCCCAGACCTACTGACTTGAGAAACATGCCAGGGTGTGTACATGCATGTCCAAAATTCTGAGAGGAGAAAGGAGGAGAAGGGATTGTGGCATGGCCATTCTTCCTGGGGTTGCTTTCTAACTCCTCCCTCCCCTGCTCCAGATCCTTCTCTGTCAGTGAGTGCACCATGCCCTGTAGGAAAAAACACGATCAGTTTTCCTTCTTAAGGGTCCCCAAATGGAAGACAGCATAATGGGAATAGGGGTCCTGATGCTTTCTGAGCACTGTGGTCCTTGAACCCAACTTGGGCTTGGAAATAGAAGAATTTGAGTTCAAAATTTACCTCTAGGTGATGGAGCTGTTGATACTCTCATTTAAGGCTGGCTCATCTAACAGCTGTCACGTGCCATTTGTCTAAAGAAGACAGAGCTATGACATTAAAGTGAAGCGAGATGTATTCATCCATTCAACAAATATTTATTTGGTTCTTCGATATGTTGGGCAGTGTTCTGGCTTTGAGGATTCTGATGAGAACCTGACAGAAAAGTCATGGTTCTTACTAGCTTTTTGTGAGTATGTATGTGTGCACATGCGTGCTTGTGTGAACACACGTGTGCATGCAGGCATGGTGTTTTAAATAGGGTCTTGCTGTGTGTGATCTTCCTGCCTTAGTCTCCTCAGTAGCTGGGACTTATAGACACATGTTGCTGCACCTGGCTTTTCAGGGTGGGCTGGGAATTGAACTTGGTCCTGCCATGTGAGCAGCAGCATCTAGCATACTCTATGGTGGCTGGGCCCTTATTAACCCTTCTCTCTAACAGAGGTTGGTGAGTTGGCCTGATATATATATATATATATTTTTTTTTTTTTTTGAGAGGTTTTTGCTATAGGGCGCATGCACTCGCCAGCCAGACAGAGAGAGACAGAGAGACAGAAAGCGAGAAATCACCCCCCAGGGGGGATGGTCACGCCACCATCCCTTCTCCTCCATTCTCCTCTAGGGATCTTGGGCACGCACGCACATGCACCCAGCATGAGTTTAAGCCACCGGGTCCGGGACGAGAACTGCGGTCAACTACGTAGGAGTCCAGCGACATAGCCATTACGCTAACTGCTGGTCCTGGCCTGATATCTTATTTTGGGGGACATTAGTCAGTCTTTTTGGACCACAAATCACCTAGCCAGTCTTACACACCTTCTTCTCTCCTCAGCGTCTGTCCCTTTCTCTGGGAATAGATTGTGGTCAAGTGCAGAGTCTGTGTTTCTCCACTGGCATCACAGGAGTGTTGTCTGATGAGCAAGAAAGCTCCTCAGGGGCTCCTGGGATGTGGGTGATGCTGGGGATATCAAGGCCAAATAAAACTGGGATTCTCGCTGGGAGACAGTGTGGTACATGAGCCCAGCCACTGAACCCCTGCCTGTTTTTTTTTTTTCTGTAAGACCCAGTCAAGTGGGCAGGGATACACAGGAATGCTGAGACTGATCTCCAGGGTATTCTCCTGGAAGTTGCCTAAGGCTATCTTTGGCTTCAGTGAGCTGATAGCAGCTAAGGGTCGGTCGGTCGGTCGGTCGGTCGGTCGGGCGGTCGGGCAGTTGGTGAGGGATACTAGGAAGTAGATCTGGTCCTTTTGATCCTGTTTCCACGAAATGCTTCTCAACCCAAGCTGGCACTAAGGTAGGGTTACCAACCTCTGCTGCTGCACCTTGAAGGGAATCTGTTTAACCTGGACTTGAAGGGGGGCAGTAGCTGTAGACCCACTCTGGAAACACTGATGACTCTGCAGTCTCTGCTTGTGGTCTGAAGGTCTGTCATGTTTAGCCTCCCCAGGCCAGAACAGCTGAAATGGTTTTGGTAAAGGGGCTGGTTCTTTCTGGCTTGGGCTTGCTGAACAGCATGGTGGAGCAGACAAGGCAAGGGTCCTGGGGTCAGATGTATGAGACTTGGCCTTGGTTCTACCATTAACCAGCTGTGTGGCCTTGACAAGTCACTGGACTTCAATTTCTTCTCCCTGCAAATGAGAAGGTTATATAAGGTGGTTTCCAAGGCCCTGTTCAGCTTCGAGCCTTTAACCTTTACTCTGTGTCTGTCCATAGGCCTCGCCCCAGGCCAGCTGTACACATACCCTGCCCGCTGCTGGCGCAAGAAGAGACGTTTGCACCCGCCTGAGGATCCAAAGCTGCGACTGCTGGAAATAAAACCTGGTGAGTGGCTCCTGGAACTGGGCTTGGCCTATGATGGCATGGTGGGAAGGACTATATTGGGCCAGGCCAGGCCAGGGCTGGTTTGTTCTTTTGTCCATAGAGCTGAATTTTCTGGAGAGCAGATGTGTCCATGTGGTATCCAGAGGTGTACCTGTGCCTGCTCTTACACAAACATGTCCTGTGGCCACCTGAGCTTCTCTTCCCTTTGGCTGTCTCTTGCCCTCTCTCTCCTTTGTCTTTTTGCCCTTCTTGTTTCCACCCATGGGGTTAAAGCAAGCAGCAGAGTAGGACCAAGTCCAGGATGACTTGCTTTTCCAATAGAGCAAAGGAGCCGCACCCCTTTCAGGTCAATAGGATGCCTTCCTCGTGGCCTCAAGTAAACATGCTATCCCAGGCTAGGTGTTTCTAAGGAGCAGGGACTACACTGTGGGCCTTGGCTACAGACCCTGTAAGAACATCTTGGGCATGTTACTTGAAAAGGGGCCAGTTTGCTGAAAATAGAACCCACCTCAGATGTGGAAATAGAAGATTCTGAATTCAGAATTTACCCTCGGTGATACAATGTGCTCTGGGGCCATGCAGGAGGAATTGGTTGGTTTAGTTGACTACTGACCTAGAGTCACATTCTGATTACATGGCCATCTTCAGACCTGTGTCTGGGTTGCAGCAAGGCCAAGGGATAACCCCAAGTCCTTAGCTTTAAGGGAACATCTGTTCTTGGTGCTGGAGCTAGATGTGATTCAGGGTGGTGGGAATAGTGCTCTCCAGTGGTGTAAGTACAGAGGTGACATATTCCCTCCCACTGTCGCCAAAGCATTGCAGCCAGGCCCAGAGTCCGTGCCTGCCTTCCCCATTGACCCCATAGGATGTGTTGGCTCTACAAAATCTCGACCTTCAGCTGTTTGGACCATTGCCACTCACAGTTCCAAACTCAAGACAGCTGTGATTGTTTACATTAACTGTGATTGCACTTGTATATTCGTTTTTTTGGGACAAATGGCGACTAGATTCCTCAGGGTGCACCATCCAAGTTCACACGTTTTTATACATTTACAGACCTTGTGCATACTCCAGGCTGGTGAATGAGATTATCCTACATTCCTTCTGGCCTCCACCACCTGCATGCAGGTTGCAGGAGACCCAAGTCTCCTAGAGCCATACAGTCTAATAGAAATATAATGCAAGCCAAATGCATCATTTTACATTTTCTAGTGGCTATATTTAAAAACAAATGAAAGAAATTGGGAAAATGAATTTCAATATGTATTCTATTAAATACAATATATCAAAAATACAATCCTTTCAACATGCAATCAATATAATACGAAAGAAAAACACCAACAAAAACAAAAAGAAAATTATGAATGAGATCTTTTTAAATTTAACTTAATTTATTATTATTTAAATGTGCTATAGGGCACATGTGCTCACCAGAGAGAGCGATGTGAGAGAGAGAGAGAGAGAGAGAGAGAGAGCCAGCAGGCTCAGGACTTGAACCATGGTTGGCCATGTGGAAGTCTGGTGCCTTAACCACTGCATCACCTGCTGGCCCCATGAATAAGATCTTTTCCATTCTTCATTCATATCATTTTTGAATTCCAGTGTGTATTTTACTCTTCCCCATATCTCAGTTTGGACTAGCCACATTTCAAGAGCTCAGTGGCCACATGTGGTGATGTAGTACTTGCTAGTCATGCCTGTACTTGCTCATGTGGTTCTACAGCTGCACTCAAAGTGAAGCAGCAGCAGCAATGCCCTCCTGGGAGCTTGTTACGAATGCACAATCTTGGACTTCACCCTGGCTTGCTGAGTTGGAATCTGCAGTTTCTCATCACCCCCAGGTGTGCATCCCAGGGATGCACACCTGGAGGGTGAGAAACACTGGTCTCAAAGACTTATAGGTGGGACCAGCAGTTAGCATAATGGCTATGTTGCTGGACTCCCACATAGTTGACCGCGGTTGGCATCCCGGACCCGGTGACTTAAACTCACGCTGGGTGCACGTGTGTGCGTGCCCAAGCTCCCGAGAGGAGAATGGAGAAGAGATTGTGGCATGGCCTTCCCCCCGGGGGGTAATTTCTCGCTTTCTGTCTCTCTGTCTCTCTCTGTCTGTCAGGCAAGCGCACGCACCCTATAGAAAAAAAAACAAAAACAAAGACTTATAGGTAACTGGACCACAAGTCAGTGTGGCATGATTCCATATCCTCCGTGTTTCTTTATTAGATGTAAATAATTGTCAGTAGAAACAGGTGCTGCACGGGGCAGGGACTCCTTCCTTGGCTCAGCTCCATTGGACCAGGTCTTAGGAAGAGGCGCGGAGACAGATAATCTCTTTGGTTTGATCCTTACCTAGACCACCTTAATTCTTTGCCACTAAGAGCCCTGTAGGAGATGTCATTACAAGAGGGCAAGCACAGGTGGGATTGTGTGAACTTTGTAGGAGGGTATTATTATTATTCCAGCATCTGCTAGTAGTTATTGATAGATGTGTTTTCTTGTTTGAGGATGTGAGCCCTCTGGGTATATTTCCCCATCTGTAAAATAGGCACAATGGTATGTGGGATTCATAGTTAGCCTTGTAGTTTACATCACAAGGACCAAACATGTGCTATAGGGCATATGAGCTTGCTGGTGAGAGACAAACAGAGAGAGCGAGGGAACGTGAGAAAGCCTCCTTCCTTCCCCAGGGAGGAGGAGCCATGCTGCAATCCCTTCTCTCCATTCTCCTTTTGGGATTTGGGCTGCATGCACATGTGCCTGGTGTGTTTTTCAAGCTACTGTGTCTGGGATTTGAATCGCCCTCTTGGCCATGTGGGTTCCAGTGGCCTTAACTACTACATCATTGACTGGCCCAGTATTCGTCCTTTCTTACTCTTTTAAATGAAAGAACTTGTTTGATTCCAAGTAGGTAATATTATACAGAGTGGGGCTCTGTCCCTCTCCAGCTCTCACATGCCCTTCTCCTCATGGGGCAAACAAGGTGGCTTCCAGTGGTCCCAGACTTGGTACTCACCACACCCAGCAGAAAGGCGGTCCCCTTAACCAGCTAGGCAGAGAAGTTCCTAGAAGGACTGATTGGTTGGCTGTCAGTAACATGTTTTTACATACAGGAGATTAAAAAGTATAAAAGATTGAACATTCTGATCTAAAAATTCAAAATCCAAAATGCTCTGGGAACCAGCAGTTAGCGTAATGGCTATGTCGCTGAACTCCCACGTAGTCAACCGCAGTTCGCGTCCCGGACCCGGTGGCTTAAAACTCACGCCGAGTGCGTGTGCGTGCGTGCCCAAGATCCTGAGAGGAGAATGGAGGAGAAGGGATTGTGGTGTGACCATCTCCCCTGGGGGGTGATTTCTCACTTCCTGTCTCTATGTCTCTCTCTGTCTGTCTGGTGAGCGCACGCGCCCTATAGCGAAAACCTCTTCAAAAAAAAAAAATCCAAAATGCTCCCAAATATGAAACTTTTTGAGCATTGACATGATGCCACAAGTGGAAGATTCCACATCTGACTTCATGTGGCAGGTCCCAGTGAAAGTGCAGGTGTGTAACACAAAGTTTATTCGGTGTCTGCAAGGGAAGAAAAGACCCCAGGAACTCCTAGAAAATAAGTATTGGATGTGATATGTCTTTTTTTGTGTATGCCCAGATTCCCCCAAGAAAGCATGCCCCGAAGGCTAAGAAGATGGCACTGTGCAGCTTGGACTGCCAATGGCAGGTCTCTCGTGCTGCCCCCCATGGGGCAAAGTCCTGTACACATTGTGGTTTTTTTGCTTTATCTTTGATCTGTGATCCAAAGATATTGTCAAAAATGCCAAAGGCCTGCCCTATGGGTAATAGCAATAAGGCATCTTTGCTTTCTGATGCTTCAATGTATACAAACTTTGTTTCATGCAGAAAATTATTTAAAAAATTCAATAAAATTACCTTCAGCCTATGTACATAAGACATATATGAAACATAATAGAATTTCAAAATTAGACTTGGGTCCCATCCCCAAGATATCTCATTATATATATGCAAATATTCCAAAATTAGAAAAAAATCTGAAATCTGAAACACTTCTGGTCCCAAATGTACTCATCTTGTATGATATAGTGAAAAATAAGAACCAATCTACCAAGAAGAAATCAGTGAATACCAATTTTTTCCTTATTTATTTACATTTAATGTCTTTACAGTGTACATTTCTTTTTCCAGCATGTCAGTCAAGACAAAGATATATACATTATCATTAGCAAATATCTTCTCATTTTTTTGTCATTTGTTTCCTCTCTTTTCTCCCTCCTTCTCCCTCCCCCCCCCATTTACTGATTCACAAAAGATCTTAAACTAAAAATATGGACAAAGCTAGAATCTAGTGACAAGTGCACTGTAAATTTCTACTGGAACATTTTTTTCTCTCTCTATGCTCCCTTTTACTAAAGAGAGGTATAAACAAACTTATTTGCAAAAAAAAAAAAAATTAGGTTAATCTTAATTTGGTCTGTTATTTGCAGAAAGCCCCATAAGAATTCAATTTTTTTAAGAGGTTTTTTCTATAGGGCACGTGTGCTTGACAGAAAGAGAGAGACAGAGAGATAGAAAGTGAGAAATCATGCCCCCAAGGGGGGATGGCCATGCCGCAGTCCCTTCTCCTCCATTCGATTTTCACTGTAGGGCGCGTGTGCTCGCCAGACAGAGAGAGACATAGAGACAGAAAGCGAGAAATCACCCCCCAAGGGGGATGGTCATGCTGCAATCCCTTCTCCTCCATTCTCCTCTCGGGATCTTGGGCACACATGCACACATGCCCGGCGTGAGTTTTAAGCCACCGGGTCCGGGACACGAACCGCGGTCGACTACGTGGGAGTCCAGCGACATAGCCATTATGCTAACTGCTGGTTCCCAAGAATTCAATTTCTAATGCAAGGCAACAGATACTATTTGCGTTATTGAACTTATGCAAATAACCATTCTGTGACAAAATAAGAAAATAAGAATGCCCACAAATATTTTCCAAT